AATCTTTGTCTAGATGTGAATGAAGCATGAGTTTTGAAAGGTTGTATAAGCATCGAGTAAGGTTTATTTGCGGAGAACTCTGCGATAATAGTAACAGAATAGAAATAGACTATGCGAAGTTATTAGGGTGTGCTCAGTTATTAGATTATACGGGATTCTTCTGCAGAAAACTATGCAATGATAAAGTCAGTAGAAGTATAGTTAGAGCGTTTAGTGAGGTATTTGATTATATAAATTGAGTCTCAATAGATGAAAAAGCATATCAATAGATAAAAATGATAATAAATAGTTGTTATATTATCTTCCATTTCGGTAAAACATTAAGGCTGTTGCAAGTCATCAATTAAAACTTAATTGTAAAAAGTTCATTTTTAGTCACTACAATCTGGTCACATTAAGGTTGTTCTTCTTCTTTTTCTAAGTGTCTGGATTGGAGAATCTTTGATTTTTAAGGTTTTTTTTTATTGTTCATCTATAACTTCTTCCACTGTTGTCTATTTTTGTCACCATTACATTTAACTCGTCCATATATGTTTTTTCTCTCGTGGCTCTTCAACAATGACTTCTTTATCTATTGGATGTTAACAATACATTTCTTAATAGCGATTTATAAGAACAAATTTACATGGAGCAACCTCCCAAGTTTATTGTTCAAGGGATTTTTTTGGGTTGATATTTCGTTTTTTATGTTGTCTTTGCAAATTATTAACAATTTGGTGTCACTCGAGTGCAAAAGGAGATATTTTCACTAAGTCTTTATGATTTATATTAGTAACAATACGATTTGTATGCACTAGCTTGAGGGAAGCGATAGATATATTATCTTTATTTTATATATTATCTTTTATCTTTAATTAGTTTGTTATTATTTCTTATTTGTATTATAGGCTTAATCTATATTTCTTCTATTATAAATTGAGGAATCTATATGTATATTCAAGACAAGAGAGATTAATTTCATACATAGTTTTCACTATATTCAAGAGTCTTGATAAATTATCTCATAGATCACACAAATGCATGTTTTTAGGATTTACTCGATCCCAAAAACGATACCAGTGTTTTTCTTCTTATCTTAACTTTTATTTGTTTTTGTGAATGTTACCTTCATTGAGTTTTTATTTACTACAATTAATTTTTGTCTTCTTTTGATATGTATCTATCTACAATAGTTAATATTCTTTTTATATGTGATGCTCTTGTTGTGCATAGTCTACTGTCAAATTCTCCTCCTCCACCACCTATTTAGGTTTATAGTCAAAGACATAATTCCCAACAACCATCAAGTGATTCTCTTCAACTGTTAACTATTTTGTCTCTTCCGATTCTGACAACTAAGTCTAACCTCTAACCTCTCAATTACCTTCCGTAAAAGTATACGTTGTACTTGTAATCCCTTTTCATATTATATTGCTTTGAATTACCATAGATTATCTTCACCTTTTTATACATATCTTTCGTTTATTTCTTCTATGTCCATCTCTAAATTTGTCAGTGATGCCTTGACCTATCTTGATTGGTGTCAGGCTGTGCTAGATGAACTTAGTGTTCTTCAAAATAGGAACTAAAGAGTTTGTCCCATTATTGTATGAGAAATCTATTGTTAGTTATAGGTGAATTTTTGCTATCAAATTTGGTCCAGATAGTCTATTGATCGCCACAAAGCTCAACTTGTAGCCAAAGGCTACATAAATTTTTGGATTCGATTATGGTAATACTTCTTTTCAATGACAAAGATGATTTATGTTCATTTACTTGTAACCATGTCTGTTCTTCAACAATGACTTTTTTATCAACTGGATGTAAAAAATGTTTTTCTCAATGAAGATTTACAGGAAGAAATTTATATAAAATAACTTTCCAGATTTGTTGCTCAAGGGAGTTTTTTGGATTCTCAAATCTTTATATGACCTAAAACAATTCCTTAGGACTTGGTTTGGCAAATTTACTCGCATTGTTCAACAATTTGGTATGACTCAAAGTGAGGTAGATCATTCAGTCTTTTACGATCACTCAAGTGCTGGATTTGTTATTTGATAGTATATGTAGATGACATTATTCTTACAGACATTGACCACAATGACATCTATGAGATGAAACAACACATTTTCCATCATTTTCAAACTAAAGATCTTGACAAACTTAGATATTTCTTGAATGTTGAGGTAGCATAATCTAATGATGACATTGTTATATCTCAAAGGAAATATACATTGAATATTTTGGAGAAAATTAGGTTGATGAATTAAAAATCTATTGACACATCCATTGATTCTAATACCAAAAGCTTACCAAATTAGGGACAGTCTATTTCAGATCTTGGGTAATATAGAAGATTGGGATCTTGGGTAATATAGAAGATTGGTTGAGAAATTAAATTATCTAACAATTACCCATCTTGACATTTCTTTTAGAATCAGTGTGATGTGTCAATTTCTCAATTTCTCATGTGAAGATCATTGAAATGCAATCATTCATATGTTAAAGTATATTAAAGGATCTCATGGAAAAGATTTTTTATATGGTTCCAATAATCATACAAAAGTTGTTTGCTATTTAGATGCTAATTGAGTATAATCTCCTTTTGAAAGAAGATCTACCTTCCAAGTATTGTGTCTCCATTGATGGTAACTTGATTCCTTATAAGAGCAAGAAATAAAGTATTGTGACAAGATCTAGTGTAGAAGCATAATATAGAGTTATGGTCTTTGTTGTTTATGAACTTGTTTGGCTTAAGCAAGTGCCTAGAGAGTTAAAATTTGAAGATGTCACTCAAATGCCACTTATATATGACAATCAAGCAACTCTTTATATCAATTCTAATAATGTCTATCATGAGAGGATCAAACATATGGAGATTGACTGTCTTTTCATTCAAGAAAAGATTGTAGCTAGAGATAATAAGATTAAGTTCAGTTAGTAAATATTTTCACTAAGTTTTTAAAGAGATCGATAATTGGTTATATTTATAATAAACTTGGTACAGACGATTTATATGCACCCGTTTAAGAGAAAATGTTAGATATATTAAGTTTTATATTAATTAGGAAAACATAAACATTTGATATTGGTAGATATTATTGATATTGTTTGTAACAATATGTTTTATATACCCTATTTATGTTTGTTTTTTTTTTTTTTTTTTTTTTTTTTTTTTTTTAATTTTTTTTTTTTTTTTTTTTTTTTATACAATAGAAATTAAGTTTATACTTGGTTTTTCTCTATATTCAAGTATAACTTTTAGTTTAAGTACAACTTTTAGTGTAATATTGAGCCCTCATTTATGGTTTTGATAAAGTGACATATTTTAATTCTTTTTTATATGAAAGATTGCATGGGATTCGACCATAGAGAGGTAGGGGGATTGTGGTTGTGGTTGTGTTCCTTTAGGCTTAGGAGGGACACTAGTTTAAAAGATTGTACTCAAGAATCGATCATAGGTTGTGGTTTTATCCACATATTCATAGAAGATGCAGCCTTGTAGAAAATTCTACCAGTGGGGACTGGGGACATTCAAGCATTAAGAGTACCTTACAAAGTATTGGAAAGGGGGAACATTTGGTGGGTAAGTTATTGTGCTCCGAAGAAATGCGGATAACTAAGTGTAGAATACATAATTGTTGAATTCACATTTGCTTAATTGACCTTAACAGCACAAGACTTGTGGTCAGAACAACATTTACATCAACTTTTTATTTATTGCAATGACCTTTGATAAAGATGCATATGTAATATAAAAGGATAAATACATTCAATAATTTTAAGACTTAAAAAGATGTATGTAGTATGTATTACGGAAATAATATAACATTTAGAACAAATAAAAAAATCAAGCAAGTAAAGTTTTATCGAATAATTCTATTTCTTAGTTATATATTTTGTTGGATTTCCTTATTTTACAGAAAATTCGCCTGATATTTTCTTTATTAGTTTTTTAAAAATCGATTTTTCTATTCTAATAGTTGTGTTCAAATCTACGTATAGTAGAAAATCAACTCAAGAATTAATGCACAACCGTCGGTTGCACGTGGATAGTGTCTTATTACACACTCGTTAATTGCTTAAGTTTGACTTGTCTACGAACTATAAATCCTTAAATTTATTAAGAAATTGTCTCTATTTTTCAGTTCATTTATTCGAGGTTTAAAAAATTTGTACTTGTGCTACTTACAAAATTTAACATAAATATTTCAGATAATAGATTATCATTATTCAATAATTAAAAAAAATTAATATTAAATGATTGACGAGATAAGAAAATGTGGAACTTAATATATATTAACTTCATTTTTCTCAGGTGATCGGAATGCATTTTATGAACCCTCCGCCTCTGAAGAAATTGATAGAGATTATACGGGGAGCAGACACTTCTGACGAGACATTTGCTACTACGAAAGCATTGTCAGAGAGGTAAGAATGTTTGATTTTCCTGTTCTAGTGAGGGTTCGGCTAACCTAGGCATAGGAGAAATAATATTTAAATTAAAAATAATTAATAGAAGAAAAATAAAACAGAAATAAATTGAAATATGTAAAAAATTGTATAAGTATATGAAACAAAAAAACAAGTTCCATTAATCTTACTTAAAATATTAGAAGGTTGGTATCAAACAGAAATAGAAATTTCATTATAGTAAGTTAAAATCATTACAAGAGTGTCATAACATAAATATACATAAAAGAAGATATTACATTGGGTTACATAAATCACGTCCCAAAGATTAATTCTAGTGACCATCATCATCAATGAATGATGGACCACAACAAAACATAATCACATCCCAAAGATTAATTCTAGTGACTCCATCATCATCAATGAATGATGGACCACAACAAAACGTAATTAGACGACTCATCCTTCATGAAATTCACGTAAAAATACCCTGTTTGTGTAAAGACTATTACTAAATGTTTATGAATGATATGTTGAACATCTTTATTAGTGGTTAAGAAAACGAACTTAGAAGTTCTTTCTTCAACAAATTAAAGAAGGATATGGTACAACAAATGACTTAACTTTACCTTCCATGGTCTTAACAAATGACTTCTTATAATACAACGCATATGGTTGATACTAATGCTATTTGAAAAAGTACAAAAGGTAAAGCTTCCATCTTTAAAATGTACATTAGCATTAAATGAATTGAAACCATTAAACTTCTCAATGAAAACCATGTTTACTTGTTCTACTAAAAAATCACACACCTTTTGAAGATAGTAGGAACATCATTTTATAGTGCTGAAGTATGACCCTTGTTTGGAAATTTGAGATAAGACAACACAGTTTCGATTTGACTAGACTATGAATTTTATAAGGCTTTAGTTGTGAACTTTATTAGTAAATGGATTAATGGCCTATCAACTTAATGAATGGTACTTGACAACTTTATTGGGTAAGTGAGTTAAAAAGATGAAATGCTTCTACTTAGTGTTGGAATAAATGATGTCACATGCACTCTCCCACAAATGACACACACACGCATATATATATATATATATATATATATATAATATATATATATATATATATATATAATATATATATATATAATCTCAAAGTTATTTTAATTTCGTTATTGTTTTATAAAGTTGATATTTTCATTAGAGAATTTGTAATAAAGAAATCTTAAACCACCTTTTAAAAAAAAAAATAAAAGGTTGTCTAAATCTTAAACCACCTTTTGAATGGACATTACTCCAAGGTTTCATATCTTCCCATTGTTTGTTAGGTGTTGGTGGATGTATATCTATTGTTTGGATGAATAATTTAATATATTCTCAAGGGTGGAAATGATAGCCAGATGGATCTATATGTTTAGCTCTTTTTTTTCACGGTTAATTGTGTGATATCACTACCTAATTTGATTTAAATCATGTCATGGATGAGTTTGTACTAACTACTCTCATTGGTTTTGGTTGAAGGTAGTCAATTTTATTTATTATTTTGCACGATTATCCAATAAAGGTTTTAAGTCTTATCTCCTTGTTAGTGTCGATTTTAGAGCATTTTTTGATTAAAGCATTTCGCAGTATATGATTTAAGTGTACTAAAAATGAATATATGTTTTGGCACGTTTACCCTATATCTTCACCTTTAAAACACTTAAATTTTACATGTATTATACCAAAAGACCACATTTAACTTCCATTATAAATAACAACACTTAAACAAACCTATCACAATCTTTTATTGCATAATAAACCGAGCCCCTACAATGACTCTAAACACATCAACATATACACTTCTTTCAGATGGAAAACTTTGTCATCAATCAAGAAGACAACTGTTTAAATTCCTATCTTGCAGCTTTATTTTCAAATGGTGAAATTATTGGGTCTGAAGATGGTGTGTAGTTCCAATTCAAAACCTAAAACTCTTTCGCATTCCATACAACTGAACATTCATCCTCTTAAAGAAAATATGTGCACAACTCTACAATTACCAACCATCACATTCATCAACAAGTTATACTTCAAAAGACCTAGATTGAATGAACAAGGATCCATTGTGTATGATGTTCCTCAAATATCAATTGATGTTGACGTTGTAGAAATGATTATTTGTAAGTCTAATTTTCCTATTAACATACTAATTGAATTGTTTGTTACCTTCCTAAGGTCGACTCAAGAAACATTTTATCTTCTAAACCCAACTCCTTCGTCATCTTCAACTACACCAAACTTTATCTTGTTTTCTCCAATAATTGTTTATTATAACGAACCTCTTAAACGGGCTTGCATCACAAATAGTCTATATGGTTATGGTTTATACTTTAGATCAGACACCCTTGTCACTATGTCTATCCAACATCTTTACACCTTCAATGAGCTTCTACAAAATAACTCAAAGAATACACTGTGGGATCGCAAAATAGTAACTAAAATTGACTACCTCTATCCATTGAGAGTAATTAATAACAAACTCATCCATGACACGGTTCAAACCAAATCAGATAGTGATATCACACAAATGATCTATCGGTGGAAAAAGTTCAACATATAGATCCATCTATTTATTATCTCCACACTTGGAAATATATTTAATTGTTCACCTAAAAATAAGATATAGGTCTACCAACACTTGACAAATAATAGAAAGATATGAAAACTTAAAATTATGTCGATTTGAAGGATGGTATAAGATTTATACCACTAGTACCGTAATTTTTTTCTTTAATTCGATTTTCAATTATGTAACTCTATTATGTGTAATTGATTGGATTAAATAAACAAATTTTTTATCTAGTTATAGCTTTTCTTTTTTATTAATACAAATTTTCTAATTAAAATATCAATTTTATAAAACAAGAATGAAATTAAAACAACTTTTATATATATATATATATATATTATATATATATATATATATATATATAACTTGATATGAAAAGAAAATAATTTTAGAGGACTTAATTGAGTCCTCTCATATCTTCGATGTATAATAAATGTAGTAAATTGAGTACACAAGGTACATGATAATTAGGTGGTAACCTTAAATACCAATAATCATGAGAAATAGGGTAAAACCTAGACACAATATAATCATGATAAAGAGGAAACGATAGACGCAATATCATCATGATAAATAGGGGTAACCTAAACACAATATAATAATGATAACTAGGTACCAAGACACACTATATAATTAATAAAATAGGGCTAAATATTCTAAACACTCCCCCGCAAGCTGGAGGCCATACAAATTGTATTGTGCCAGCTTGGAATAAATAAACTCAATCCAACAAAATCAACTTGTCTAAAATGTCGAGACAATAGACGTGGTAACTTTGGCTCCGAACAACATGCACATATGCTTCCGACCATCGAGAAAGAATGTTTATAAACCAAATTGGGCTCACAATCTAATATAGCCAAAGAGACTCCTCATAAGCTTATGAAGAATAATATTGGACAACCACGAAACTTTATCTAGCACCATGAACCTTCAAGTAGGATGACTTTGACAAAGTTGATTTTCATCAAAAGTGAATGATGAGGGTAGACAACGACAAACTGCAAAGACTGGATTGCCATCAAGTAAGGATGGGGCCTGCATGGCTAAAAGCGACAAAAGTGCAGGGACTGCTATATCTGACTAGTTGGGACCTGCGGTGGCTGAAAGCGACAAATCTGTAGGGAGTTCCATCTCTGACTAATTGAGGCTCGTAGTGGCTGAAAGCAGAGACTGTCATCTCTGACTAGTTGGGGCCTCTGACTAGTGGGTAGAAACATACTCCCCCTCACTAACTGATGGAGCCTGCAGGAACTAAATTGCCATCACTTACTGATAGGGCCAATAGTGGCTAGAAGCGACAAAACTACAAGCACTGCCATCACTGACTGACAAGGTGATGGGGGCCTGCAGCGGCTGAAAGGACAAAACTGTAGGGAATGCCATCACTGATTGATGGGGCATGCAGTGGCTGGAAACATATTGCAGTGGCTGGAAACATACTCCCCCTCACGACAAACGACGGAAATGACGATGCCGCCGATGACAAATCGTGAAGGTGGAAGATCATAATGGTCTCCTTTATTCATCAAAGCATCCAAAAACATATCTGACAAGGGACTGATGAAATTGTTTGACTAAGATTCTGAATCTTGCGAGAAATAAACTCCATGAGGAACCTTCAACCTATGACTTTGGTGTTGAAATTCCTTGGTGTTAACCAATTAATAGCACTGATTCTCCTTGGAGACGTAAATAAATGACACAAGCCATTAGGAACATCACAACTGCTACAATACGCAAAGCTAAACAAATATTATGAAAGGAGGCTAAGGAACAATGCTGAAACAAAGGTATAATGCTGAAATAGAGAGTTTTTTTTATTTGGTCGAGCGAGACGAACTACAGTGACACTGTGTGATTCCGACACCAGAAAGGTGGCGTGTGACAAACAAGCGTCGAAAGCTTATCGAAAAGAAGTCGTGCGTGAAAAGATGAGAATGAGGCAACGAATAGGGATGAGTCGCGTTCCTCGAGGCGCACAAAACAAAACCCCACTTTGCCCAGAGAAAATGTGACAATGGCGGAGGCGAACGTCAGACAAATGTGGCACGCATGGCGGCGCCTGGATTATAACTAGCCCTCTTGCTCAAGGAGGCGATCCAGATCACTAGTCGTCGGACTAAACTGTGGCAGCAGATGGCAACGGACGACAATAGACGGTGGTCGGCAGCGGACAACGGCGAACGGTGACGAATGGCGTCGGGAACAGAAGTTGATGGTGATAAACTTTTGTGGACAGCTCCTCACAGTGGCAAAACAGTGCTAGATGGACAACAACAAATGGCACCAGACAACGACAAACGACGCTTGGACAGCGGCAAACGACGCCTGGAAAGCGGCAAACGGTGCTTGACAGTTGCGGACAACAACTAAGGTTTGGAGACTACAGAATCAGG